TGCAAATTCTATGTAGTCATCAACCAAACCATTCTTTACTTTAGTGTCCAGTGTCCTATTACAACAAACATTGAATTTATCCATGATAAAACCCAAAAGGAAAAACAGAAGAAAAGACAGGAGAACAGAGAGAAAGATAGACTGAAGGAAAGATAAAGTGAAAAGATTGAAGGGGGAAGAAGGAAGGAAGGAAAGATCCTAAATAATTGGAAACCACTCAGAGAAACACCACAGCTAAGGATGCTGTTAATCCCGCCTAACTCTTCTAGTGAGGAAGGTGCTTATTAACAGTTGCAGACAAATATATATGCATCATCAGAGATAATCATAAGATTATCTTTTCAGGGTTCTTGGGCATGTGTGTTCTGTAGGGTTGGATTATTGAAGGATAAGCTTCTTGAAAGGGTGTCTAGCAGGTGGTGACCTGTGTGATGTGACTAGCAGAAAGATTCTGGGATAGATAAAAATGAAGCTCATTACTGCCTGCTGAAAAAAATAGTCTATTTTCTAGGCCATATAATAAATGCCCTACTCATAGGCACTCAGGCCCTGGGGCATTGCTGATGACTCAGGCAGAAGCCTTCTTTGGGAAGGAATTACATTAGTGACCCACTAGAATGTAAGCTACATGGGGGCATGGACTCCATCTGCTTTTCCACTGTTGTATCTCCAGAGCCTAGAATATCTGGCATCTGGCATATGATTTGCACTCAATAAATATTTGTTGAATGCATGCATGAATTAGTGGGAGTGTGATCCATTCCACACTGTAAGTATTCATTTTTCCAAGTTTTGTTGCTTTTATGTTATGTAAGGGCTTCATGCCTTACATAGCATGCATTATCACAATCCCCAAATGAGTAAAATAAGATATTCATGAGCATGATCACAAGCAAAAACCAATTTACCTTTGAGGAGAGGCGTGACATGGTCTTATCATCCCTGAACAAGAAAGTTGCAGAGTTACGAGAGCCAAGAGACAAGGAAAGTCAATGCAAACTCTGTGGAAACCTTAATGAAACTCTTCTGCACAGCTAGTGAATTGCTCTCAGGTGGCTGATGTGATGAGTAACGATTCTGAAGGTTCATCCAGAAGGAGAGAAATGATGCATATCTGGATGCTAGTCACTACACCTTCCCTAGCTGGAACTTCACCACTCTGTTGTTCCCTGGATTCTTAACAGAGAGCCCAGCAACAGAGGCAGGGCCATTGTTCACTGGTGCCATCCTGGTGCTGATATCTGGTTTGTCTTTGGAGACTGAGAGGAATTTGGTTAACCTCTCCACTGGCCTCACCCAAGTTCACATGCTTCACGTTTTGCTTGCAAAACTCATACCTGAAATATTCTATTAAACAAAAGGATGAAGCCAAGTCTTCGAAGCATCAGACTTGAACCAGTCCCTGTCCAAAAGTCAAGAGAGCACTGAATGTGTCTATCATATTTGCAGTTTTGTTCTTCCTTACTCCACCTGAGTCTAGGACTGTGAAACCTCCACCACCACTACTGCCCCCACACACTAGGCACCATCCCCTTAACTCCCAAGGGTGAAAGAGCTTCCTGCCTCTTATGCCAGTGCTCCTCAGCACCAGAAGTTGAGCCTCCGCTTTCAAGTAAATTGTCATATCCTTGGTAGTTGAAAATAACCCTGAAAAGAAAAATTCACACACAGCAAAAAGATGCAGCCTTGCTCCTTAGAGATCCAACTGAAACACCACGGTCATTGTCAGCAGATTTTTAAAAAGGCATCTGTCTTTTTTTCAACCCCCCTCCAACTTCTTACCCTAGTGCTTCTGAAGGGTAGCTAAAGCTCTGAGAATTTTCTCAGATTGGGGAACACAGACTGCCTTTCAAAGTACCCCTCAGCTCACTCTCTACTTCAATAAGTGAGATAGGCAATCCGGGGGCCATACCATCTGGGTAATTGGAGTCGAATCCAGAAAGGTATGCCAAATGGTTCTCCAACTTTGCCCCCCAAAATGTAGCCCTAGAAGTCACTGAATTTACCAAACAATACCCATCCCAATGCAGACATGCTGCTCCTCAGACTGAGATTTCAGGGAGCCTGCTTGTCAGCAGGGCACAGTTGCAATTTTCCCTGCATAGGGCTGAAATGTGACAGACTCTTTTCTGGAATGAAACACTTGCGAAAATGTGCTTAATCCATTTTCAGCAGCTTGGTAGTTTTTTCATGACAAAATAATATCTTTCATTCGGAAAAACATTTTGCCTATTGTAGCTTCTACACAACTTCAGCACTGCAAGAGAGCCAGTTCTTGGGTGAGTATGGCAGCCAGGTGCAAAACAGGAAAAGGGTGCGATACATTTTGGGACATGACAATGCATATGCTCCATAGTTTAGTGATGAGAAAAGACAAAGGTTGTGGGGCGAGGCTCAACACAACTTTGTACCCTTCCCACAGCAGAAAATGCTGAGTTCATCTTTGGAGAGTGTCGCTTCCTGTTGTTACAGGGAACTCTTCCAATTCACACCTCTCCTGCTGCTTGTGAAGGCCTAGTGCAGCTTACCCAGTTCTTTACCTCCCTTTCTCCCTTCTATACCCCAGGAGCCTGCTTCCAGCACCCTAGGAAAGCTGTATCTCTTCATCATGTCAGCCAGACATTTGATCATAGCTACAGCCTCTCACAAGAAGGGATCTTTCCTCCCATGAAGCTGACCCTGCTATGATCTCAGCACTCAGAGATCCAATCTGGCACACAGGAGGTGGGACCCAAGACAATGGACAGGTCCCCAGGGGCCTATGCCTTCCATTGGCTAAGAATTCCAGATGACGGAGTGTAAGGCCGCAGACCTAAGGGACAAGGGAATAAAAACTGCTTTCTCATTTTTCCTTATTACCGTTACCTCATGCTGGCCTCTCTCTGTGTGTCAAACTTCTTGTTTGACAGAGAGAGATACAGAGGCATTGAGCTTGAGGAAATATTCCTGCCCAGGATGCATCTTTTAACAAATGTTCACTTATTGCCTATAGTGTGCTGGGGATTTGGTGGATGACGTGTCTCTGCTCTTCAGGGAGCTCGAGATAGTAGGGGAGACAGGCAAGTAATCTGGTAATGTGACAGTGTGACAGAATGCTGCGAAGGTGAGCGTCCTGTGGGAACACATTGGAGAGTCTCCTATCCTAGACCCAAGGGACATGGGGGCAGCTCCGGAAGTCTTCCTTGACAAAATGACAACAAGACTCAGTCCAGAAGGGTAAGAGTGGAGGGAAAAGTACTTTGGATAAAGGGAACAACATACAAAAACAGCAGGAAGCTGGAAAGACAGAACAGGCAACTCTAGATGCATCAGTGGGACAAGCAGAGTGACCAACCTTGGGCTGCAGCCTGAGAGCAATGGGGAACTGTTGAAGGAGGAGAAGTGACATGATGAGTTTGCCAGAGGAAGTGAGTTGCACAGAGGAGACAAGAGCCACCCCCTCCCCGCCCCAGCAAGGAGCTCTGCCCTGGGAGGTTCTGTAAGGCTCAGTTCCTGCCCGTGGAGTGGGGATCATGATGCTTAAAGGAAACAAGGAGAGGGGGTGAGCAGGTGAAAAGGCAGCTAAAGACGTTTTAGGATATTTTACATTTACTGACCATATAGGCATTATTTGAGACTTGTAATGTTCTCAGTCCGAACTCCAAAATCTCAGCTCCCCTGTCAATATTTCAGTGTGTATTTAAAATTCTCTTCTTACCCTTTCATTTATGATTGAAAATTTCTCTTCCTTAATAACAACACAGCCAAAAGGGAGCTGCTGCACAGGTTCCACCCATGCCTGCCTCATTATTAATCCTTCCATATAGCCAATAGGCCATGTGGAGGAGCTTCCAATCCCCTCAAACCTTCTCTGGCAAGGTTGAGGAGGCCGCAGTCAGCTGCAGGATTGACCCTCGGAAGGTGGCACAGACCCCTCCCCACAGCATGCAATCAGAACTCCCCAGAGCTGGCGGGAGAGTTCCCCCTGAGGGAGAAATGAAAACCTTTGGCTTCTCACTGTTGTTGTTTTGGAGGAGAGTGTGAGAGAGTGAAGACACAGGGGAGGTGGAAAGAGAAAACCGGGGATGGAGAGAAAGTGAGGAAGAAAGAAGAAAGGGAGACAGACACAGAAAGTGAGACGCAGAGAAGAAACAGCAAGGAAGATTGGAGATGGAGATGGACAGAGGGTCTATGAAGGAAAACTTCAGGGAGAAGGGGAGGAAGAGAGGAGTAGAGTGAAAAAAAGAAGATAGAGCGAGAGGAAATGGGGGAGGGGAGAAGTCTCAGAGGTGTTTAGATAACACACTGGAACTTTTGAGGAAGGATCAGGCAGGAGAAAATGGAGCTTCCAAAGCACCTGGTTGCTGTAAGCAAATGTGCAGGAGGCCAGGGAGGAGGCCAGCCCACCCCTCTGCCTCTGTCCTCCATCCAGGGCTGAGGGCCGCTAGGTCACTGCTCTTGACCAGCTGCGATTCCTCTGAAGCCTGCAAAGCCTAATGTGTCCCAGCCCTGCTCTGCATCTCTGTCCCTTCCCATGAGCCAGGCTGGGGAAGGAGAGTCTGGGAGGAGGAATTCTGAGAGCTATAGAGGACCCCGAGAGACGACCTGAGGGAGGAAAGCAGGCAGGGGAATGGCTGCACAACTACAAGGGTGAAGTGGGATGGGGGCAGGTAGACAGACGAACAGACAGACAGACTGCACCTGAGGAGGGTTCCCAAGTTCCTCTGTATCATGCATCCTCTGTGCCTCTGTCCAGAGAGTTGGGGGAAAGCTGTCCCTACCCTCAGCCTCTTCACTTTCTCTCTAACCTGAAGCTGTCAGCTTGAGAATACCTGGTGGCGCTGCCTAAACCCTCTCAGGTCTTTTTCCCCCTGGTAAAAATCATTAGGACTTTACTGTTGGGCTCCAGCTTGGCTCCAGGATGAAAGGAAAGCTGGTCGGGGGTGGGAGGTGGGGGGCGGGGGGAGCAGGGCCGCTTACATGTCCTCCTGCAGCTGGGGAGTTAGAGGTTGGACAGAACACCTCCGGCCCTCCCCAAGCAGCCACGGCAGCCCAAGCTCCTCCCCGGCACACGGGCAGGCTCTGAACCCCACTCCAGCTGCTGCCGACTGTGCCTTTAAATTGCTGCTTTCGGAGGGTGCATCTGGGGGAGGTGGGAGGCAGGAAAACATCTTCCTACCGGTCTCCCTCCTCCCTCCCCACCAAGACTCTTCAGGGTTTAGAGAGTGATTGCTGCCCAGAGAGAGTCTTTTCCAGCTCCCGGCTGGCAGGCTAAGGCCCTCCGGAGCCCAAGGCAAGCTCAAGCAGAAGCCAGTAGGGTTATCTGTGTCAGGATCATTTCCAGGGGAACAGTTCTGGCCCCTGGCAGGTAAAGACGGGCCAGAGGAGAAGAGGCAGAAGAGGAGAGAGAGCAGGCTCTTTGCGAGCAGCCCAAGTTGGAGAAAGGCTCTGTACTTTTGGCGTTCCTGCAGGGATATCCTCTCTCACGTTGGCAGCCAGGCTGAGAAAGGGCTTCAAGATCCCCGCGGAATGACAACTCTTGTTCCTGCAACCCTCTCCTTCCTTCTCCTCTGGACCCTGCCAGGGCAGGTCCTCCTCAGGTGAGCTGAGTGGGGGTGAGAAGGAGGTGCATGCAAACACTAGCCAAGGGGAATGGGCAACCTGGGCATCTGGCACACTTTCCTCTAAGTTTGCACAAAGCCCACAGTCTGGAGGGCTTCAGGGGAGGACACGCCCTCCCCCCCCCCCGTTAGGACCCCAAGAGCTTCTTATTAGAGATGTCAAGGCCCCAGTCATGCTGGGAATGTTTCTGCACAGGTGGAGGTTTCCTAGGCCTGGGTAGGGGTTAGGCAACTAAGCCCCAGAATGGAGGGTGTCTGTCCAGCCGCCTAACCCTGTTTCCCTATCATCTGGGCCACACACTGCTGAGATCACTAAAAATGACAGAAACATCTGTCAATTGCCAGCCCAAGAGGCTTCAAGTAGCAGGGGTTTGGCCCAAGACCACATCAGGATGGAGCTGGGCTAGACATTCTTTGGCCTTCTGCAGTCACCCTGCTTGTGCTCACTTGGTTGCTCCCTATTCCTTGAGGGGGAAAAGGTAGCAGTCACTTCCTGGGCTTGCAGGAAAGACATCCTTTGGGCTCCCTGTAAATGTTCCCCCACCAACTGCCCCTTTCTCATTAGACCAGGAGCCAGCCTAGGTTGGCAGGGTGAGTTGAACAGGAAAGATGGCTGTAGCCTGGGCTGACCTGGTCATAAGAGGAGTGCCTCCAAAGGTGGAGGGGGTCAGTGCCACTACAGCATACTCCTCCTCCTGTTAATCCAAGAAACGTCTCAGGGCTGCTTGCCTCTACGAAGCCTCCTGCTCCACTGTTTGCAGACACATTGGCTGGCAGGCAGGCAGGGGTGCAGAGCAGGGCAATACACTTCTAAAGAGTGAAAAGCAGTTCAAAGTGGAATGGCAGCACAGCTGGAGTTGACAGGAGGATGCAGGCAGAAGGGGGCACCACACTGGGCCTTGCAGGCCCTCCAGGAGGGGAGGCTGCCTCAAAGCCCAAGCTCCAGTAACAGCGTTCCCACTGGGACTTGGAAAGCAGAGGCAGTTAGAGCAAAACAGGCCCTTAGAGAGTCTGGAGTCCAAGTCCTTCATTGTACATACGGAAACTGAGGCCTAGAGATGGGGAGTGACCTGCCCAAGGTTGCTCAGCTACCTAGCACCAGAGTTAGAGTTCTCTCCCTGTGCTGCCCCAGAACCTTGTATGAGAAAGATTGTCAGCTCTGGATCCTCCTAGGTCCTGCAGGTGTTTAGGACTTTCCGGGAATGAAAGACAGGAGGGAGTGGCTGCACACTGTGACTGCTCTTAGGTCCTCAGACAAGTTAGCTCCAGAAGAGGGAACTGCAACAGGGGCTGGGGCCCAAGACTGCTAAGCCCATAGCCTGTCCCAGGATACTAGGTCTAGGATTAGCAGGAGAGGTGACCTGAGAGTGGGGCTGAGGACAGTGGGGAGGGTCCAGTTTCTCCATGTGCAGGACCATGTGGCCTCCCAGCAGGCAGGTGGCAGGTGGCCAGCAGCAGCAGCACCTGGCTAATGTGGACATCCTGTGGTGAAGTCACAGACTTCTGCTTGCTCCAGCACCACCACCAGCCTCCTTGGATTTTCAGAGCCTGCCTCTGTCCCCAGGGTAAGGGCTTCCTCTTGCTTAGAAGATTCAAGGAGGCAGGACTCTAGAAGGTCAGGGTGGGGCTGCCACTGACCTTCCCCTACTTTGGCTCCTTGGCAGCCCACCCTGGGCTGCCTGCACCATAGTAATTGTGATAGATAGAGCTAGTTTTGAAGTCAATAGCTCTGGATTTGAATCCTGGCTTTACCACTCACTAGCTGCATGATCGTGAAGCATTCACCTCACCTTGCTGATCCTCAGTCTTCTCATTTATATAATGGGGGTGATCATAATACTTAGTCGAGAGGACTAATGTGAGAACTGAACTAGACAGAGTGTGTAAAGCATTGAGCATGGTGCCTTAGCTATTTTTATTATTCTATCGGTCACTGGATGGTACATGGATCTACTGGGAAAGAGGAGCCCACTGGCTCAAAAAAGACTAGTCCCCAGCAGGACAGCAGTTACGCCGCTGCTCAGTCCCACAGTGTGGCAGCAGCAGTGACAGTGGTGGAGTCGGCTATAGAGCAATGACAGCAGGCAGGAGGGAGCAGGAGGTGCCTGGCCCAGCCTGGAGTCCAGCTGAGCTCGGCCCTGAGCACTGCTCCTGTCCCCAAGGTTTTGCTGAGCTCCTAATCCCTAGTTTATCTGTTAACTGGCAAGTTGGTAAGTAGGCATATGGAAGGGGCTTTGCTGCTGTTAGAGGGAAACCTGTTAGGGGAAAAGGGGACTGGCTTCTAAGCTATGCCAAAGCACACTGGCTCCTTCCTCAAAATCAAGCTGTTAGCAGGGAAAATATGGGAGTTGACCTCAGCATGTCTACCCTACCGGGAGGCTTCTCCCCATCCCTAGAGTCCTGCTTCCCCACCATAGTTACCAAGACTAGTTCCCCTGCCTGCAGTGGCATGGCCCTTAACTAAAACGTAGCTCAAACATAGCTTCCTGCTGGAGCACAGGCCAGAAGCCAAAACTCCCTCTTCAGATGCTAGGTCCTACTTCCTGAGCAGCCCAGCATAAAGCCCAAGCAACTGAAGCCAACTCTCAAAAATAAAAGTTGTCCTTGAGCCCTTCCCATCCTTGACTAGGCTAGACAGGCAAAACTTTGTAGTAGCCACATCATTTCCTGCAGGACATCACTCATTGAGTGTTTTCCAAGTACTTTCAGAAAGAGAACACTGGATGAGGCCTCAGCCTAGGGTATGAGTCCTGACCCTGTCACTAGCTCTGAGACTTTGAACAAGTCATTCCTCCTTTTGAAGCCTCAGTTTTCTCATCTGTAAAATGGGAATAACAGTCCTCACCCCCATCTCACTGAGAATTGGGAGGGTAAGAAGATCTACTGTCTGTGAAAACACTTTTCTAGTACTAACAGGTAGGCTGCCGTGTTGATTTATGGCTGTTTTTGTTCTCGTTTTGCAAATGGCACCCAGAGACCCATCATCTTCTGTCCTCCTGCCTGAGGGGTATGGAAACGGAGAGTCTGTGATAAATGCAGCACACAACTGGCCTCAGACTTTTTTACCTCTCTTGTCCAGGGTGGCCTTGGCAAAAGAGGAAGTCAAATCTGGAACCAAGGGGTCCCAGTCCATGTCCCCCTCTGATTTCCTAGACAAACTTATGGGGAGAACATCTGGGTATGATGCCAGGATTCGACCCAATTTTAAAGGTAAGAAATCTTCATCCTATAAAAACTCCTCCCTCCCCACCACCTTTGGCAGCACACTACCCAGCCAGCCCCTATTGCCTCCCCTAAGGAAAGGAGGCTGGAGGTCCTGGGCTAGGGCTAGTTCTAACAGCTCAGAAGGAGCCTCCCCACCCCATTGCCCATGGGCGTGTGTAGCTGGCACTGATTTCTCCCAGCAGTGCCCTGGCCTGAAGCTCAGGGAGGGAGTTCTGGAAGCTGCTCCCAGCCTCTTGGAATGCCCTGCCAATGGCCTATGCTTTGTTACCCTCAGGCCCACCCGTGAACGTGACCTGCAACATCTTCATCAACAGTTTCGGCTCCGTCACTGAGACCACCATGGTAAGGGATCTTCCCACTCCCCACTTCCAGCCTAGTGTGAGTGGGAGGAGCCCACCAGATAGCAAGCTGGCATCTTTTGCCATATCAGCCCAAGGAAGGCTCCTTCTCCAGTGAAAAATGCCTACTGCCCGAGATATGCTTCCAACACTCCTCCTCATGGCCCTCCTGCCCATACAGGCTTGCTGGGCCCCTGGGAATGGCAATGTTTCTGATGGGCCCATATCTGCACCCTCCCAGGACTACCGGGTAAATGTCTTCTTGAGGCAACAGTGGAATGACCCACGCCTGTCCTACCGAGAATATCCTGACGACTCTCTGGACCTCGATCCCTCCATGCTGGACTCTATCTGGAAGCCAGACCTGTTCTTTGCCAATGAGAAAGGGGCCAACTTCCATGAGGTGACCACGGACAACAAGTTACTGCGCATCTTTAAGAATGGGAATGTGCTCTACAGCATCAGGTGCACCGGGTGGATGGCCAGGAGAAGAATTTAGATGAAGACCGAGGAGTGGGAGGAGGGTTCCCTTGTGCTGTGATGGGCCCCAGTAGGCCAAAGTCATTTCTTTCTTACTGTCCCCACTAGGTTGACCCTCATTTTGTCCTGCCCAATGGACCTCAAGAACTTCCCCATGGACATCCAGACCTGCACGATGCAGCTGGAGAGTTGTAAGTGTCTCTATAGAGTCACAGAGGACCTGGAATAACAGTGAGTTAACCCGACCTCATGACATCACAGACGAAAAGGGCTACCCAGAGTTGGGAAGAACTTACTCAAGCACACCCAGCCAATTCTTGGCACAGATGAGACTAGAAACCAGGGCTCCCTAACCCCTAGAACAGTGTGTTTTTCATCCCCACACTATTTGCTGATCTGGCTGTTCCATGGGGCTGGGGAACAGGAAGGCATCAGCCTTACGCACAAATGCGTTTGTGCTGTTTTGGGGGGCGATTTGAGCGGCATCTTCTCTGCCCAAAAGTATGTCCCCTCTCACAGTGCCTGAAGGAGTTCCACCTTTACTTCCCTTGAGTTAAGGCATTGAAGATGCCTATAAAAATGCCAAAGTGGGCAGGGTGGGGGCACTCGTGGAGCCCTGGTTCCCCACAAACACAGATACCTTTGTAGAGAGGTAGGAGATGACAGTTCTAGGCACAGGACAGTGCCTAGAATGAAGAGGTCAGCCAAGGGCTCCTCTGTGTCAGGGGTGCCAGCCTGGAGGGGCTGCCCAAAGTGCAGAGGAACCAAGGATGACAAGGCTGGGACATCACTTATTTCCACTCCCTCCTCATCTCCTGGGTCAGGGGAGACTGTTAGATCTGGAGCCATCCACTAGATGTTCCCAGAAGAAGGCTTATAAGGCTGTTTCCAGTATAAAATAACTGTAATGAGTAGAATGTGTCTTGTGTGGTCAGCTCTTTAGAGTTCTTAAACCACTTTCACACCCGGGCTCTCAATATCCCTTCATGGCAACTCTGAAAAGTGGGTAGAGCAGCTACTATAATTCCCGTTTTACAGAAGGGGAAGTGACTTATCCAAAGTCACAGAGCTACTCTGGGTCAAGGCCCAACACTGGATGTCTGTGAGCCTGGTGTTTCTGCTCCCATCTCTACCTGACATGTGCAAATATGGTCATATACGTGGCATGAGCCCTCATGAACTGCTATGTATGTGTGAATAACTTGGCATGTTCAGATATTAGCTTTAAATTTGTCCCAACTCAAGGCCCTGGCTAGGATCTATGGTATGCACATTGTCCCATGCATGACTGGCAGGATATAAATAGCTGTCTCCTCCCTGAGGTGATGTGGCAGAAGCTCTGGCTCTGAGGCTAGCTCAGCTTAAGACATGTGTTCGGTACACATGCTTACTCCCCTGGGCTTGAGATATGGCAGGAGGCTCCTAGCTGGGTTCCTTGACATTTTTCCAACCCTCTTGACCTGCTTTCTAGGTCTGCCAAAATAATTGCTCTCTGGGCTTTTCTCAAGCTTGAAAACAGGGTAGGAGTCTATAGTCTTCCTGATTTACCTGCCCACTCAGGATGGGCCCGTGAGACAACTGACCAAGTGTCCTCTCCAGAAAAGTTTCCCTTTCCATGATAAGCATGAAGCTCCTAAACCCCAAACCTTACTCCTCACCTGTTCTCTCCTGCCTGTTCTGATCCTACCCCTACCCCCACCCAACACCCACATTCTGCAGCCCTCTGCCATCTCTGTCACTTTCAGTTGGCTACACCATGAATGACCTCGTGTTTGAGTGGCTGAAAGATGCTCCTGCTGTCCAAGTGGCTGAGGGGCTGACTCTGCCCCAGTTTATCTTGCGGGATGAGAAGGATCTAGGCTATTGTACCAAGCACTACAACACAGGTAAAAACCAGGATCTTTATTGGCTGTGAGCCACAGGAGAACCTTCAGATGTGAGGCAAGGGGACAAGTCAGCTGGCCTCTATCAAAGGTTCAATTTATGTCAGATATGGGGCCAGGTGCTTCATATAACTTATCTATTTGTGATAGCAATTATAAATACCATTTTTCAGAAAGGGAAAACTGAGGTTCTAAGAAGTTAGTTAAATCAAGTGTCCAAGTCATATAGCTAGCAAATGGCAGATTTAGAATTTAAATCCAAGCCTTCTAACTCCAAAGTCCATGTTCTTGTTCCTGTCGCATGCTGCAGAGCAAACGACAGTGGGTGGAAAGTTTCCCACTTTTCCTGGGGTCAACTTTGTGGGGAAGCAGGGAATCCATATCTGGTAATAGGGAGTGACTATGCTGAACCCAGAGGGAACAGGCCTGAGGGCAGTGGCCAGCTTACAGTCCACACCTCCCACTGTGCCACCACTGCCAGCTCTCAGGAGCTTCCCAGGTGTGAAATGTCAGCTAAGAAGTGGAGAAGGGCTGCTTTCCCAGCCTGAGCATCTGCCCCCCTGCAGCTTCTCTAAGAGTTGCTGGCTCCACATTTTCCCTGACAATTTGTCTGCACGGAGCTCTGACCCTGAAATAGAGGCAGCAGCCTGAAGAGGGGAGATCCCGGGTCCCTTCCATGGTGGGCTGATATGTTTTGGGTACTGCCCCATGAATATGGGTGTGCATGTATGTGGGGGTGTGGGGAGTGGGAAGAGAAAAAGGCCATTGAATTTAGAAAATACAAGGGGGAATGAAAATTGATACAAACTTTTTGGAGTAAAAAAGTTGGCAATCTGTATATAGATCAGTGGTTTTCAAACTTTGGTGTTCATTATAGTCCCCTGGGGAATATATTAAATATATTAAAATGCTGGCTCCTGGGCTCTACCTCTCAGAGATTCTGATTATGGTTACCTATTCTTGGAGTGATGCCCAGAAATCTGCATTTTAACAGCATCTTGAGGATTCTGATGCAGGTGGTCCAGCGAACATGCTTTGAGAAACTTTAGAAGCTAAAATTGTTTTTCTACTTATTTATCCAGGAATCCTACTCCTTGAAATGTATTATATGGAAATATTCCAAAATACTGCATTGGCCTTTGACCCCAAGGGGGCTCCTGGGTGACTGTTTATATTAGCAAAAACTTGGAACTGTTTTAAATATCCACCAATAGGGCAGAGGTTAAGTAAATTACATAGTGTGTCTGCTTAGTGGATTAGTATGCAGACGTTAAAAGGGATGGTTAACAAGGTGCTTATATCAATGTGTGAAAGTACAAGTGAAAAAAGGTAAGATTCAGAGGTATAAATACAGAATGATTATATTATGGTAAAAGAAATAAACCAAAAGCATGCATTTAAAAACTTTGGGTGGAAATAGCACTAAATGTCTCTAAAGTAATGTGATACAACAGACAAAAGCAAGAAGTTTGGAGGCAGATAGAGCTGAGTTTGGATTCTGGCTCCATCATTTACTAGTCGAGTGCCCTTGAGAAACATAACTTAATCTCTTCATGCCTCCATATTCCTATCTGTAATATGAGAGATAATAATTTTACTTGCCCCAAAGAGTTGCTATAGGATTAAATGAGATAAAGTATATGAAGTCAGGTCCTTAGTAGGGGTTTGATAAATATAAGCGTATGAATATTATTATCCCTTCTCTACTTCTCAATTTTTCTATACTAAACAAGTTTTAATTTTGGAATTAAAAACAAAACTGCTACTGCAAAAAAAAAAAAGAAGAAGGAAAGAAGGGAAAGAAAATATGGGTACCTAATAAAGGCATGTCATGACAAGAATCCCGGGGTGGGATGAAGTGAGGTGGATTCAGGGAACAGTAAGAGGTCACAGCATCATACAATGTGTCAAAATCATAATCAGTCATTGACGAAATCACTGGCTTTGAAGAATCAAGTAGGCCTGATAAGACTAGACCTAGGCCAGAATAAAATAACAATATATGCACCTTCTCCTTTTCACTTGGATTATCCTGAGCCTCTGCTTCCAAGAGAAGCTCTGAGCTAGTATTTTCTCAGCCCTAGGGCCCTGGAAAGCAGAGTAAAGTGAAGGTTGCCAAAGGAGATGGAGCATTGGTTGGTGTGCCTGGGCCAATGCACTTTTTGCTGGTGGAATAGAAGACCTGATGCTCTATGGGAACCCACTCCCCGCAGTCTGGAGCTGGTCTCTGTTGGGCGGTTTTCAGATGTTTGCTATCTGGCTCTTCTCACTTGCTTAAGACACAAGCAGTGTTTATCCCAGTGAATTGTTGTTGCTAGAGAGCTTCTGGGGCACTAGCAAGCACAAGCATGGCTGCTGAGATCTAAGTGGAGTCTAAGCCAATTGCTTTGTTAATAATGATAATAGTAACAGCTACCTATGTGTCAAACACCTCAAATACATTATCTTGTTTAATTTTTCCAATAGCCCAGTGATGGAGTTGGTATCACTACTCTGTTTTACAGTCAAGGAAACTGAAGCTCAAAGCACAAAGTCACACAGTGGAAGGTTCAGGATTCAAACCCAGGCAGTCTGACTCTGGAGCCCTCCTGCTCCTTATCCTCTTGCTGTGCCGTCTCGTGAAAGGCCTTCTGCTGGAAATGAAAGTGCTGGGAGCGAAAGGCCAAGTCTTTGATGGTCGTTCTGAGAGCTTCCTTAGTATATACATCTGGCGCTGCCTGGGGCCATTATGAAAGGCTCATTCATTGGCCCAGCTGAGGTGCCCAGAGGCTGGTCAGCAGAGGGCTGCCCTCTTCCTGTCCTAATCCCCTTAGGCTCAGCTACAGACTGGGGACCTGGGGCCTGACTCCTCACCTCTGTCCTTGCAGGGAAATTCACCTGCATCGAGGTAAAGTTTCACCTGGAGCGGCAGATGGGCTACTATCTGATTCAGATGTACATCCCCAGCCTACTCATCGTCATCCTGTCCTGGGTCTCCTTCTGGATCAACATGGATGCTGCCCCTGCCCGTGTGGGCCTGGGCATCACCACCGTGCTCACCATGACCACCCAGAGCTCTGGCTCCCGGGCCTCTTTGCCTAAGGTGAAGAGACATGCAAGGGAACTTGCTTGCCATAGAGCACCCCATTTCCCATTCATCCCAATGTGCCCTCCTGCTCACCATTTACCTTGGATTTAAGGTTGAGAAGACCCACTGGGCAAGAGCTGGTGTCCTGCATTCTCTCTCTCCCTGTAATATACTACTAATAACATTGTTGACAATGTGGAGGCTGGGGTTAGGGATGCTATCTGCCTAGGGAATGAGGAGAGACAGTGCCTTACTTTGAGTCTCTTCAGGAAATATTAGCGTGTCCAAGGTCAAAAGATCCTCAGCAATTAGAAAGTCCTACTCCCTCATGATACAGATGAGGAGAATACAGCCCAGAGTGGTAAAATAACCTTCTTAAGATCATGCCTTGTAAGAAACAATCAAAAGAATATCAGAGTTTTGAACCAATTTCTGTCGTCTTACTGTATCAGAAATTAGAAACTATCACAAAGTGCTTTAGAGACAGTATCCATTCTTTTGGGATGAGAAAATTGAGGTAGAAAATAGCAATTAAAGTCAGTGGACTCCAGTTGTCTGGGCCCGGTGATGTTTTGATTACGCAGGAAGATTTGTGCTGATGGGACTGGGCACAGATTCTCCCTGTCTCATGTCTTCATGTAGGGAATTTAGAGGTCACCTCAAAGTCCTTACAGTCAGCAAAGCTCTGAACAAATCAGGGAGCAATGCCATTTATTCATTCAATAAATATTTATTGAGCATGTACTATGTACCAGCCACTGAACTTTGTCATGTAGAAATAACAGGAAGTGCCGGGCGCGGTGGCTCAAGCCTGTAATCCCAGCACTTTGGGAGGCCGAGACGGGCGGATCACGAGGTCAGGAGATCAAGACCATCCTGGCTAACACGGTGAAACCCCGTCTCTACTAAAAAATACAAAAAACTAGCTGGGCAAGGTGGCAGGTGTCTGTAGTCCCAGCTACTCGGGAGGCTGAGGCAGGAGAATGGCCTAAACCCGGGAGGCGGAGCTTGCAGTGAGCTGAGATCCGGCCACTGCACTCCAGCCTGGGCGACACAGCAAGACTCTGTCTCAAAAAAAAAAAAAAAAAGAAATAACAGGAAGCAAAAGCAACACAGTTCCTTGTGGATCTTACAATGAATATATTCCCTCTTGCACTGATTTGTTGGGAACCAGGCCCTATGATCTCCCATCTCTCAGTGCTTGTTCCTAAGAAGACTTTTTACTGGGGGCTTACACAGCAGGTAATTTCACACATCCATGGTGAATTTATGAATGTGCTACACGGCTGGGAGTAGGGTAGTGATTAGGAATAGGAGATTGGGATCAGCAGATTTGGGTTTGTCTCCCAAGCTCATCATCTACTAATAATTTACCTTAGGTAAATTCCTTAACCTCTCAATCATCTTGCCTGTAACATGGGAATAACAATATTACCAGTTCCGGCTGGGTGCGGTGGCTTACGCCTGTGATCCCAGCACTTTGAGAGGCCGAGGCAGGCGGATCACATGGACAAGAGTGCGAGACCAGCCTGGCCAACATGGTGAAACTCCATCTCTACTAAGAATACAAAAAAAAATTTTGCTGGGTGTGGTGGCGTGTGCTTATAATCCCAGCTACTTGTGAGGCTGAGGCAGAAAAATCGCTTGAACCTGGGAGGCGGAGGTTGCACTGAGCCGATGCACCAGTCTGGGCAACAGAGCAAGACTCTGTCTCGAGAGAGAGAGAGAGAGAAAAAAAAAAAGAATATTACCAGTTCCATAGGGTTATTGCAAAATATAATATATTAACACACAGGACAGTGTTTGGCACATAATAATCGCTCAATAAATGTTAACTATTGTTATAATTATCAGGTGTCAGGGTTGAAAAAACTGAGTGATGAATCTGGGGCTAAAGCAGCTGGTATCGTCCCTAATTATTTTTGAGTTGTCAGAAACCCTTTGAGGTGGTCCAAAGCCCTATAGGGATAAGTGGTGACGAAACTCAGATCAGAATCACATGTCCCAGGAAACGCTGTTAGAGATCATTTTCTGTAAATGTGTTTCCTAGATGGACAGGGATATTGACAAGGCTCTGAGAGGCAGGCTGGAGTTAGGCAAGGGCTACACGGCCAGACCAGGCTGTGATGGTCGTGTTTTGATAATGGTCTTGTAAGGAGACCAGAAGCAGAAAAGTAGTTCAGACCTAAGAACCCTGCCCTAGTTTATTACCTCTGCCACACAAGGTGATTCATCTCTAAAGCAGGGAGGTACTGAAATTTATGCCTTATTCTTGCCAAGAGAACTTCCTTTTCTGGTTCCCTCCTGTGAGTGAACATGATCCATCTGCTCCCAGGAATCACTTAGTTTCCTTATTTGGAAAAAACAGTCTTTGTTGGAGGGTTGTTTGCAGCATTTGGTACCTTCTTGTCAAATTTTAATGACTTCTTTATGGCCTCATTGGCCAGTAAGCAAAATATCCAAGCCTGCACCCTGAACTAAATAGCCTCATTATCCAGCCCCTCAGAGCAAGGGACTCAGTAAGCCAGGGACTGCCTGCTCACTCTTGAGTTTGTGTAACATTAAGTTTGGTGGGGGCCGCATGAGGTCAGTCTAGGGGCTTCCAAAAGCCACACCAATCTCACACCCCCTAATACAACTCTAGTGTCCAGAATGAGAGTGGCAGAGGCTTACTTTGTAAGGGAACTCAGTTGGGGTGACCATTCCTCATGTTCCCAGGAAACAACTGTTACTTTGCCTTTATGGTGCCACCAAAGGCACTGATTACCATCTCTTTGCTGGGCCTTTGATCCCCTCAACTGCAGGGAACTCAAAGCAGGATGGAAGGACTAAATGGAAGTTTCTTCCAGAGGCTAGGAGATTAGACCTAAAGTTGCAGCAAGGAAGGAGCCACTTCTGTCTAGATCCTATCATCTCAATGGCCTACAGCTATTGGGGCAGGTAGTGGTAAAGAGGGTAGACAGCAAGCAGAAACCAGCAGATATGCACATCACATGTTGCTAAACCGTCTATCTGTTCATTCATTCAAAAACATATTTACTATAGGCCAGAAACTCAGCTAGGCATTGGAAGCAGAACAGTGATTGAGATAGAAACAGTCCGTGCCATCGAAGAGCTCACAGTCTAGTTGAGGGAATGGCCAGGTATGTGATGGATGCTAAGAAGTTGTAGGTAACCTGAGCACATATAGCAGGACAACCAACACAGACTGGGATGATTAGGGAAGGCTTCCCAGGGGATGTAGTATCTAAAGTGAAAGCTGAAGGATAAGTAAAAGTTATCCAGGTAAATGAGAAAAAGGATAGAGGAGATTGGCTCTTTGGGAAACTACAGAAATAGTTTACCACAGCAGATTACAAGGGGTGTGATGAAATGAACAGGTAGGCAAAGGCTAGATATCATGATAAGGGGAGCATAGACTGTATTATAAGGGTAATGGAGAACCACTGAAGGATCATGAAGGGGAGTGATATAATCAGATTTACATTTTGAAAACAACTCTGGCTGCTGTTTGGAGAACAGATTGGAGGTGGCAAGAGTAGATGCAAGGAGACCATTCAGAAAACTTGCAACCCTTCAGATGTGCCAGGATAGTGAGTGGACAGATTCCTGAGTTTTTGTTTGTTTTTGTTTTTGTTTTTTAGACAGAGTCTCACTCTGTTGCCCAGGCTGGAGTGCAGTGGCACGATCTCAGTTCATTGCAACCTCTGCCTCCCGGGTTCAAGCAATTCTCCCACCTCAGCCTTCCTAGCAGCTGGGATTACAGGCATGCACCACCACACCCAGCTAATTTTTTGTGTTTTTAGTAGAGATGGGTTTTGGCTGTGTTGGCCAGGCTGATCTCAAACCACTGGGCTCAAGTGATCTGCCTCTCAGACTCCCAAAGTGCTGGGATTACAGGCATGAGCCACCACGCCCAGCCAAGATTTTTGAGATGTATTATTGACACACTTATCATTAACAGGACTTTCTTCCTAGTGCTTAAAGTGTCTTTTCCTTTGATGGTCTAAGGACCTTCATGGCCATCCTTTTATAATGATGAGTAATTACCTCATTATTGATCTTGCAGGTATTTGATATCCTTGGGGGCACTGTCAGACTGAGGGATGGTGAATGAAATAGGATGCCCTCTTAGTAAGTGGCAAAGTGGCAAAATGGAGACACCAAGGGATGCTTCATCAGGGGTGTCTAGTAACCCACTGCCACCATCTCAGTGACATTGCCCTAAAAGAGTTAGAGCAGGGTTTTTCACCCTTAGCACTCTTGCCATTTGGGGCCAGATAATTCTTTGTTGTGTGCGTGCATGTGTGTGTGTCTGTGTCTGTATGTGTGTCTGTGTGTGTCTGTATGTGCCTGTATGTGTGTCTCTGTGTGTGCATGTCTGTGTGTTGAAGGCCAGGCAGGGAGCTGTGTACTGTAGAATGTTTAGCAGCATCCCTGGCCTGTACCCATTAGATGCCAGTAGCCACCACCTCTTGCAAAATTGTGCCACCAAAAATGTCTCCAAATATTACCAGATGTCCCTGGCAGGGGGCAGAGTTGTCCCCAGTTAAGAATCACTGAGGTAGAGGATTTATTTATCCAGTGAAACTTGCTCCTTACCTGGGATCTGCAGCACTCTCACTTCCCATCATAGCAGCGGCTGATTAAAGAAGTGGCTTGTCCGAAATTCTGTTCTTGCTGGGGTGTCCTATGTGGTGAGCTCAGCAGCTGAAAGCTATGTAGCAGGTAATTTGGTTGAGGAGATGAAAAGATCTAAACCTGAGCTCTGTCCCTCACTCCTGGCCCCACCCATCTGCAATGCCTGGAAGAGGCCAGAAAGTGGGAGACAAAAGTATTTGGAGGCTGCCAAGGAAAGTAGTGAGGGGAGAGTACAAGGGACTGGATAGGTGGATGCCAATCACATCTTGCAACTAGCAAAGCATCCTTAAAGGAGTGGGTGGTGTTCCCTCAGTATCCCTGCCCTGTTCTCTCCAGGGTGAGAGATGAGGCCCCAGCTCACTACTGAGCCAAATTCATCAGCAAAGCCTTTCCAAAAGAGCAACAAGGAAAACCACAAGACCAGGGGAAGAACAGGGGTGGAGGAAGGAACTCCTAGTCTGTCAAGGGAAGAACAGGGGTGGAGGAAGGAACTCCCAGTCTGTCAGTGAGACCGCAGCCTAAGTAAATGGCAATGCCACTGAATTGAAAGCCCAGAACATCCAGGTCCTAGTGCCACCTTCTCACTGGGTAATCTTGGCTAAGACCCATCTGCTCTGGGCCTTAAGTGTCCTCATGTGTCTCACATCGGTATTGTGAACGCTGCCTGACCAATTACCACTGAGGCTGTGAGGACCCTAGGAGATAACAGAGGGAAGACAAATGCAGTGTTCATGCTCATTACTGTTTATTGAAAGAAAAGAATCAAAAGAAGCTCAGAATGAAGACAATAATAAAAAGCAGAAGCAAAAGTTCAAGAAGAATAAAGAAAGAAAGGGAAAGAATTGTAGGAAGGAAAAACTTGTAGAGGTAGAGTATGAAGAGTGCAAAGAGGTGGAGTATGATGGGCAGTCCTATCTTTTCCATCTGGGCTTTCAGACGATGGGATATGTCGTGGAAAACTTCTTTAAACACCAGAAAAAATTCAGGATAAAGTTCAAAAAGAGCAGGCAATCGATAGGGGTTGGAAATCGACTCAGTAGGCCATGGAAGGACTTCAAGAAGGTTGACAGTTCTGTCGTTGGATGTTGCAGGTGTCCTACGTGAAGGCAATCGACATCTGGATGGCTGTGTGTCTGCTCTTTGTGTTCGCTGCCTTGCTGGAGTATGCTGCTGTCAATTTTGTTTCTCGTCAGCATAAAGAATTCATACGACTTCGAAGAAGGCAGAGGCGCCAACGCATGGTGAGTACAACTAGGGAGGGGCCCACTGCCTTTCTCCTTTGGATTCCTTTCTCCCTACTCCTCCTCCCCACAAACCAAGACCCACCCCAGAGCTGCAAGGACTAGACAGGCAATCAGAAACCCTGGGTGCAGTGGCTCGCGCCTGTAATCCCAGCACTTTGGGAGGCCAAGGCGGGTGGATCATGAGGTTAGGAGTTCAAGACCAGTCTGACCAACATGGTGAAACTTCGTCTCTACTAAAAATACAAAAATTAGCCGGGTATGGTGGTGGGCACCTGTAATCCCAGCTACTCAGAAGGCTGAGGCAGGAGAATCGCTTGAACCTGGGAGGTGGAGGTTGCAATGAGCTGCAATCACCACTGCAATCCAGCCTGGGCGACAGAGTGAGACTCCGTCTCAAAAAAAATAAAAATAAAAATAAAAATAAATAAATAAATAAATAAAAAGAGATTGCTTTGAGAAGTAGTAATTGCTCCCCCCACAACCTGGAGGAAGGTAGCCCAGGTTGTCATACACTAATTGGTAGTTAAGAATTCAACAGTCAGGCATTGGTGCCTTTCTAGGGGAGCATTATAAGAGGGCCCCCATAACTAAGTTGGAATTGAGAAACCACCACTTGCCTGTTCTGACTGTTGGATTTCTTCTTCTTGATCTTCATTGGGTTCATTAGAGTTGTTGGGCTTGGGCTGTTGTTCTTCCTTACTCTTTTCTGTTAACCTCATTTCTTCTACAGTAAAGTGATCACCTGGGGAAATATAAAAGAAATCTTGTCGTCATGACAACAGAGGCAGTTTACCCCCAATTGCCCAGACAATAGGTGCTAGGTAAGTTGTCATGACAACAGAGGTGCCTGGGCCAGCCTCACAGAAGCAAGTGTCCAATTATGAGCAAAGCTGAAAGGCTTGCTGAGCTACCTACTGGTCGCTTAATCATTAGAGACACAGAGTTCTGGTCTGTCTTCAGCTCTGACTCCATGTTTTCTGTCTAATCTGGAGGCTCTAAAGCCAGAGAGGCAAGAGCATAATGACCTCTGGGGGATGGGAAACAATGCTTTGAACCCACTGTTAAAATCCTGACTCTAGCTTGTCTGGGCCACACTAGCACAAGAACTGTTCTCTCCTCCTAACACACCACCTTCCACCTCAGCTGCTCCAGGGGCACCCCTACCATATGTCCGCACTAAAAATATCTCACAAACTACAGCCTTGGTTTCATGTCCCTTGCTAAGGTCCCTTTCTGCTGAGGGCAGGGCTCCTGTCTCATCTAGTGGTTTAAATTTATCAGTCCCTGCCCTTTAGTCCTTTAGTTGGTCCCTGGGCAGTATGCCCTCTAGTGGACTAATCCACAACTACATGTCCTCGAGTAGGACTCATTCTTCAAGAAACCTAAAAGCATTTCCTAACCCATACCAAGGGTTAGAAAAAAAAAAAAAAAAAAAAAAAAATATATATATATACACACACACACACACACACACACACACACACACCCCTAGCAGAAGGGCAAGAAAAGGACACTCCATTTTCTAAGCTAACTGTCCCCACCCCCTCTTTAGCTGTGTCGAACAAATCTGCCTGCAGGTACCAAAATCTTATCTTTATAGGAGGTTTGATCTTGGTGCCTTCTCAATGCCTACCTTGGGAAAAAAAAAAAAGCAGACTGCCAACCAATCCAGAGTCCTTTCACCAGCTAAGTTGCCTGTATGGATGTCCCAGCAACAAAAAGGCTGCCATTGTTACTGTAGAGCTACTCCAGGTTGACACTAGTCCCACCTCCTTTCCTGAACTCCTGCAACCTGCAACTGCCTACAGCCTGTCCCCTCCTGCTCATATATATAGGCTGATCCTGAGCTCATAATGGCGTCTGTCATGACCAGTGCTCAATTATTACAAAGTTACAACAGCAGCCTGGGCCTTGCTTAGGACTCTGGGGCCTGCCTGAAAGTGGGCTGAGGCTTATTATTAATGTGAATAAAACTGAAAATCAAACCCGTGCCATTCATCATGTCCTTTTTTGAGTCTTCTAAAGTCACTGCTATCCCAGGACCTGTAGCAGGAATTTTGGAGGCACCAAGCAGGCTGAAAAAATTGATGGAGAGTTCATCCATTTATAGAACCTCTGTCTGGGCCCTACTGTTCCAGCTAGAGAAAAAGAATTCTTCAGTCTGAGAGGGCAGGGAGAAAATCCATGTGATCTCCAGGGAACCCTTAGCCGAGAGTCAGTTAGGAGTGTTCTAGGAGCCAGCCAGCCATTCACGTCTTTTCCTCTCAACTCTCTCCTCAACCAACAACTCCATAGCATGGTGGTTCCCTTTCATGTCACTGCCTAAAGTGGTTTACTGTTTACCCATGCGATCCTGCACTGCCTTCCCAGCTAGTCTGTAAACTTCCCCAGGAAAGGGAAGCCCTTTTTCATTTCCTCAGCAGGTCTTAGCACCAGGCTCTGGCCACAGCAGTCACGTAACCCAGCTCACCAGCTTTCACAGGCTGATTGGAGAGGACTGTCTCTCAAACTGGACAGAGCAAAAGCTTTGTCATGATCAATAGAATAATTTGATAACTGGAAGAAATTTCAAAATACTTCCCAGTCCTCTCAAGGGCTTGGTCCCAGAACCCTGCCCACCTCTCTTCATCCTCCAGCACCCTCTTCATTCCCCATTCTGTAATCTCCTTTTTTCTAGCCCCTCTCACTTCAATACATATCACTCTTTCCCATCTCCACACTTTACCTCCTACACTGTGTATTCCCTCCTTAGCATGGTTATGAGATATCTTCCCTCTCTAGCTTCTCAGTCCTTCTCCCCTACAGATAGCCAGGAAAAAAAAAAAAAAGTTCTATTTTAATAGGTATGTAAGCCACAAAGTGGTATTTAAGGTTCCAATGTCCCTTTCCAGCACACACACACCACACACAAACACCCCTCAGAATTTGGCCTAAAGAGAGAATACCCAAATGCAGGATGCCCCACCCCTGGATTTCAAGCCACTCATCTTTGCTCCCCCAGCTACAACAGGTACAATATGTTAATATCATAAAAAGCCAAGAGCAGCTTACTCTATTGGCCATATTTTCTCTCCCGTGTGAAATGGCTTTTTCCAGCCTGGGAAATGTGTCCAGATAATTCCCTTTAGACTTACTATGATTGGAGAAAAGGGAAAATAGTTGGATCTATAGAAACAGAAATAGCAGTTGGATCCAACTTTCCCCCTCAGAGCTTTTTTGCCAACATCTTTTGCTTACATCCTCTAGCCGGGGTGGGGCTCAGGGAATCAGGTTGAGTACTGGGGAACAGGGTTATCTGAAGGACCCTGAACTGGAAATCAAGGGAGAAAACCATTTTACTTACTCCCCTCATTTTAAAATTATTGCAAAATATTTTGTTTGCCTCTGGTTCTTCACCTCGAAAATGGGTCCAGCACAACCTCCCCTGTCAGAATAGTGTAAAAATAAATTACAGAATACATATGAGGTGAACCAAGGCCTGTCTTTATGATGACAGGTCAGCTTCTAGTCATGTCATCATCAAGGGTTACTAGGACCTGCAACACCAACATCTCATACACAAAGCCACTTTTCTTTTTTTTTTTTTTTTGAGATGGAGTCTCGCTCTGTCACCCAGGCTAGAGTGCAATGGCGCGATCTGCACTCACTGCAACCTCTGCCTCCCAGGTTCCAGCGATTCCTCAGCCTACTGAGTAGCTGGGATTACAGGTGCCTGCCACCATGCCCAGCTAATTTTTGTATTTGTAGTAGAGAAGGGGTTTCACCATATTGGTCAGGCTGTTCTTGAACTCCTGACCTCGTGATCTGCCCGCTTCGGGCTCCGAAAGCATTGGGATTACAGGTGTGAGCCACCGTGCCTGGCAAAGCCATTTTTCAATGTGTTGCTATAGCTGCAGAGGGCCCATGATAAAGACCCTGTGGTGTCCCTCTAACTGAGAGGGACAGAGTGTTTAAAATCTACTTTATCCACATTTTGCATATATCTATGTCATACCTATACAATATACACATATCTTTTTCTTATAATTTATAATAAATACCTCTGGTAGCCATAGGATGACCAACTCTTCCTAATTTGCCTTGCACTTCCCCAGTTTCAGCCCTGAAAGACCCAAGTCTCAGGAACCCTTTCCGTCCTGGACAAACTGAAATGACAGTTTGCATCGTCCTCCAAGGGGCCATTGCGCTTCAGGTGATTTCTTAGATACCTGAAATTTTGACTCTAAAACCATGAATACTTTAAGAAATTACCACCATCTTTGAAGGAAGGATTTCTCAACTCTGTCCTTTAGAAGTAAATAAAATTAGGTTTGTTAGGGTTGCATATAAAATAAGACTAAATAGGCAGTGAATGGGGGCCTGAGGGCCTCATATAAGTAAAGCTCCCTCTATTGACACTCAGAGGTTTTGGTTCTCTCTCTCTCTCTCTGTCTTTCTCTCTCAACTTTATCTTTCTGTCCCTACTTCCTGGCTCCCAGCTGTGTTTAGCTACTAAAGGTTGTCAGCTAACTATTGGAAAATGGACTTTTGGCAGTCTGCCGCATTACTTAGTGCTTATATAAAATTTACCCCTCACTGGGCATCTGTTTGTCATAATGCACACATTATATATGAATGGAATGTGCCTTGGGTAATAAAAATTACCCTGGATGTACTGACCCCTGTGTCAAATTTGCTGATTTGCAGAGTAGCACACATATCTGCAATAAAGTGATCAGCTTTATCCTAATTTGGATAACTCATTGGGTTATTTAAAACTTTTGGAATTTTCAGTTGTAAGTTGAGATAAATTTTCAAAGATACGATACAAAAGGGGAATGAATTCTGAAGCTTTTGAAAGTCATTAAAGTCGAGTTTACTAAGACTCAGCTTCACTATCTAATAGTTTTGTTGTTTTGTTTATTACCAGTCAGAGATAACTTGACATTGAGATGTCCTCTCACAGCGGCTGGCACTTCGCTGGATTTTAGATGGCTCTAAATGATGTTTTGCATTTTACATGGGTGGCTTGGAGCCTATCTGCAATGGAATCATAACATACACCATATGTAGCACGTATAGCTGCTTAGCATACATCTATCTCATGACTAGTGTTGTGACCATAAAAAGCATGTAGTGGGCCTGTGTACCCTAGGCACCTTGTCTGCATAACATCCCCTATGAGATATTGATGTGTGGTCTGTTCTCTATCCCTCTGCCTTTGAGCTTTGACCTCAAATTCTGCCTTTTCTTCCTTGTAATTCCAGGAGGAAGATATCATCCAAGAAAGTCGTTTCTATTTCCATGGCTATGGCTTGGGCCACTGCCTGCAGGCAAGAGATGGAGGTCCAATGGAAGGTTCTGGCATTTATAGTCCCCAACCTCCAGCCCCTCTTCTAAGGGAAGGAGAAACCATGCGGAAACTCTACGTGGACCGAGCCAAGAGAATTGACACCATCTCCCGGGCTGTCTTCCCTTTCACTTTCCTCATCTTCAATATCTTCTACTGGGTTGTCTATAAAGTGCTACGGTCAGAAGATATCCACCAGGCTCTGTGAATAGGGTGGGAGCTATAGAGTCCTGCTGCTGGCCTCCTGCTTCCTCCTGGGTGGGCTTTCTCCCTCAATTAGACTCCATTAGGGCTTGGACAGTTTCTTCCTGATCTCCCACTCAGAACTTCAACTACCAGTCCCAAAGCTATGTGGGCCTATACTGCATGGTGCCAATGGTGGCTGTACTTAAAAAGATGGCTTATCTACCCTAGTCCATATTTTCTCCATACTTTCCCATTTCTCATGAGACTAAGGTTTGGCCACATTCCTGGGGCCAGGATGACCTTCTTCTCTTGCTGGAGCCTCTCTGTTTTCCAATACTCCAGTGGAGAATATTCAGAACACTGCTACTAGATTCTGGCATTTGTCATCTTAATCTGCACCACTTCTCCCCCTGCTACCTCCCATCCAGAGCCTGGCCATTACTCTGTCCTCTGTCCCTCCTGCTGCAGATTCAAATGGGGAGTTTTTCCTGTCCACAAGTACCGCCCTGTGGGGCCCAGTCAGGTTTCCGCGCAGTGAGAGGAAGGCAAAGCCACAGGTTCCCCAGCTCTTGACAAGGTTGGAACAGTCATAGGCTGCACTGGGCTAGCGACTATATGGCCCAACAGAGAGGTGTTCAGCCCCAACAGAGAGGGGCTCTTGGGAAGCCCCACACTTTGTCTTTATCCCTTTTCCTATTGCGCTTGTCTGCTCTTTCCTGTTCACTGAGATATTCCTCTTGTCTGTCTCTTAGTTTTGAGGAGAGCATTCTGAGCTGACCAGGGTAGCTGGTCCAGAAATTACTGTCAGAATTGGGGTAGAGACTTTGGGCTCTCAAAAAGACTACCCTTCCAGGTCCACCAGAACATTCTGGTCTCAGAAATATTCGTTCCATTTCCTAATTAACTAGCATGGTGGCAGGGTCTGTTGGACAGCTGGGGAGTGTAAAAAGAGAAAAATACTTGTTCTTTAAGAAACTTACTTGATGATGCTAGAAAACTTTTGAGAAAAGTGAGCTCCAAGGTAGTGGAACCCAGGAGGAGTAGCATAGAGAAACTTTTCACAGAGTGTCTTTTGCTGGCTGGGCTTTCATTTGTTTCTTCTTTCTCTCCAAAGTCTCTATTTTCCAGGGCCCCTGATTTCCAACCTGGTCCTTCATCTCCTTTTGGTGAGTAAATGGTGCCACTGCAACCTTGTTAAGGATAGAATGGGCTTCAAGTTTCCTGGGGAGGAACTAGGCATGTAGAGGACCCCTATACTAGATCAACATTGATTTGACCAACATCAGGGTAGCAGTTGTAGAAGTTAAAGAGCCATAATTCAGAGTTGCTTCTTCACCCTTCTTGCTCTACAAAGAGAAGCAGTGAGTAGGTGTAGAAGTCAGTTGAAGCTACCAGAAATGCCAGAATGGAGAGGGTTGGTGTGGAAAAGCCCACTTCAGGCCTGACATACCACTGGGACATGCGGAAGCATGTGCCTGGCACACTGAGACCTTTGAAGTGACCAACTGTGAGCAACTGAAACAGGAGAGATTAAAGTATGGAACTGACACTGGAAGAAAGAAGTGATCAAATGATCTCTTAGACATCTTGTCCTTTTCCCTGAACCTAGAATAATTAAGCACATAAGTCCAATCTCTCTCTCTGCTTTTCTCTTTCTCTCTCTCTCCTTTTCTCTCTCTCTTTCTCCTTCCCTCCCTCCCTCCATATGGTGATCCAAATTGAAAGTCAATAAATCCAATGGTGAAAGCAAATCCTATAATCAAACCAACAGCTTGACTTTGTCTTTATCCCTTTTCCTATTGCGCTTGTCTGCTCTTTCCTGTTCACTGAGATAGTCCTCTTGCCTGTCTCTTAGTTTTGAGAAGAGCATTCTGAGCTGACCAGGGTAGCTGGTCCAGAAATTATTTTTATTGGCAGTATTATAACTCTGGTGCCAAGGATATTTAAAACAAAATAACTGGCATAAGGGAGCAGACTGAATTGAGAAGGGCAGAAAACCCCTGTTTTCCTATTTCTGCCCAGGTAGTGCCAATCAATGAGAGGCCACAAGCAATACTCCTTTGAAAGGAGCAGAGAGCATCTCTTTGATACTCTCCATGGAGGGGCTGGGGTGTCAGGCTGCTGCAGCCCGAAGGCGGGGGTAGCAGGGAGGGTGAACTATGGAGATGAGCTTATTGCACAGAGCTCTACTTGTTATAGATCTTGTCCAGATGGGCCAACTGCACAAATCTGCCCTGTTGGAAGTCTCAAGAACAATGCCCTGGAGACAGCTACAGCACTGAGCAATAGAGCCTGCCCAACTGGGACTCAGATCAGGGCATCAGCTGGTACTGGGAGCCAAAGAAGCCAAAGTACCAACCAACATAATAACCCACAGGAGCACACAAAGCTAGTCAGAGGCAATGCCAGGTGGAAGGTGTTAATTCCTCCCCATCAGAACCCCCAAGAAGAGAAGGAAGATGCATGGTGTCAGAATCAGGTGCAAATGACTTTAATTTTCCTCACCCTTTCAACATACGTACAGGGGCTGGGAAATACTGGATCTCCCTAGGAGCATCTGTCACCTAGCAATCTCTCAATCATAAAATAAAAATTGGACCCTTCTTACCACAGTGAATCGGCAGGAGGTCACAGGAGGCTCACTTGGAGGTTACTTCCATTTATCATCATTCTTATAGTACTTACCCCTCCGGAGGCCACACTACCTTCTGCCTAGATCACATCTGAAGTGATGCTGAGATTTAAAACAGCATTTTTTAAAGGGGAAAAAATTCCTACATAAATAAAGTGTTTTGGGTGTTTTCATTAATTCATTTTTAATATTTAATGCCAGCTGAATATTTTATACATATATTTTTCCAGGGAAAGCGCTTTATTTATTCAGTTGTTGTTAAGGCTATCAGTGCCTCCATCCTCCCTTTGGTTTGCTCTGCTCTCTGGAAAACCAGTGGTCTGTCATCTTTTATTGCCTCATTCTACAACCACAGCCTCTTGTTCTCCCAGAATTCACAGGCAAAGCAAAAAGAGCTTTCTATGTGGAAGAAAGGTAGTGAAGACAATTTATTCCTTTAGCTTTCTCCTATAAGCATTTGTCCCTACCTGTCACCAAAGAAGGGGCACACTTCTGGTTGAAAGGTTAACTTGACTCTTGAAGTTATTTTCTCTTTTCACTGGGCCATGCAACTATCTCAACTTTGTCCAGAACATATCACCTCCTGGGAATCTTACTGTGTGTTCCCACTTGCCTCTCTGCACTCTCAATGGAATATTATTATCTTATCATTTCTTGCTATCAAAATATTAAATTTGATTTCACTATGTTAGGATTAATGGTCTTCCTAGGCTATGCTGCTAATGAAAGACAAATCAACCAAGCATGGGAACCACCATGGAATTAGGAAGCCAGGTAGCATTATCATCTGCTCAATGGAGGAAATGTAGAATAAGCTCTTTGACGGCAAGAACTGTATCTTATACAACTCTATTTTTATTTTTTTATTTTATTTTTTTGGTAAAGACAGGGTCTCACTATGTTGCCCAGGCTGGTCTTGAACTCCTGAGCTCAAGGGATCCTTCCACCTTGGCCTTCCAAAGTGCTGGGATTACATGGGTGAGCCACCATGCCTGACCATTATACAACTTTTTATCTCACATAGCTCCTGGTACCTAGCAACACTCAGTATGTACCAGTATGTACATGTAGAATGTACATGTAGTGTGACTTCCCATTCGGTTTACTGTATACCACATACATTCTCTTTCTGTGAACTTATTGGTCACAGAAAAAATAGACCTAGAAGAGATTTTATAAAATTGGATAGAGTTCACACACACACACATGCATGCATACATACCACACACACAAACTGCTCTTTGGGTGTAATAGAACCAAAGCTAAGAAGACAGCAGAACCTTGTAAATTGTATCCCTGAATTAAGAATGATAATGTTCTCAAGTGTACAACTTCCTAAACACACTGCACATACTCACTTCCCAAGGGTAAAGAGGGCACTGTGCATGCAGGCAGCCCACCCTAAGGGAAGAAACTTGGGAAAGCGGCGCAAGACACCGGAGGTAGGCCAGCCTATAAAGTCCTAGGATCATGGTTAAACGGGGCACTTGTTCTTCAAATGACCCACTTGGATCTCTTCGAAGTGCGCTTTCCTTTCTTTCCTGCTCTAAAGCTTTTTAATAAACTTCCACTCCTGCTCTGAAAAGAAAAATAATGTTCTGATTAAACATTAGTAATATTCCAAATCTGAAGACTAGTATCAAGCTATATTTCAAAAACCAATCACCCGATAAAAGCCCTGGCAGTGACAAGTGAGGAGAATAGCAGGGATTTTGGCCTCTGCATGCTGCACACATTGTTCTCACTGAAAAGCCAGTCATCTCTGAGCAGATAGCAATTAAGCTGGTCTTCTCAGCTCATGCTCTTCGCTACATGATGATACTTCACAACGAGGATAATGCATATAGTCTATGAACTTGGGCTGGTGGTATCAGAACAGCTTGTTAGGAAATCCTAGAAAGGCATCTGAGCCAGGGACTTTCTCCTTCACAGAGCATTCTCTTCATGGAAGGATGATGAAGTAAATCTTATGTCAGGGAGCCACCTGAAGAAGTCACATGAGAACTCAGCTATTGTCACTCTGCGTGTGTAGCTCTGTTTTTCTCAGTCTCTGCTTTTACCATGAGGCTTTCTACAAATATCCTGGTTGCACTATACCGTATGGGGCATTACCAAGGAAGCACATGCTCTCACTATCAATTTTATGGAATAGGGCAAATTCTTACCATCATCTAAATTCAGGGAACATTTAGCCTTACAGAGCTGGGTCAAGAAAAATACACACATATTCTCTATTTTAATAGCTTCTATTCATGACAGTGTAGTGATTACTGGTGGCTTTGGTACCAGACAGAGCCTGGGTTTGAATTACAATTCCAGCACTTACTAGATATGGGTTCTTGGACAAATGACTTCACCTCCCTCAGTCTCAGTTTCCTCCTCTAAAGGGA